GTTGGACAGGGGTCGGGAAGGGCCGGTAGCAGCCCGGTGCCCATGTCCGTGCCCGTGCTGAGCGCTGCCCCGCAGCCTGGCTGCCCGCCCTGCAGCTGGTCCGGCGCGGCTCCAAGGCGGTGACGCGGCACTGGAAGGCGATGCATTTCCAGCGACAGAAGCTGCTGGCCCTGACCGAGTACCTGTCCCCGCGGCCAGCCCTGCCCCCGCGCTGCCTGCCCGGCCCCACGGCCCCCGGACCGCAGGTGAGACTCGGATGGGGCTGTGCGGGGAGGGGCGTTCCTTCAGCCCCATTCCCTGCGTCCATCCCTTCCATCCATCCCCTCCATTCCCTGCATTCCCCCGTTCCCTGTTCCCTGCATCCATCCCTCCATCCATCCCCTCCCATTCCCTGCATTCCCCCATTCCTTCAGCCCCCACCCCCTGCATCCATCTCTCCATTTCCCTCGTTCTCTCCATCCCCTCTATCCCTCCATTCCCTTCATCCATCCCCACATTCCCTCCATCTCCCCATTCCCTCTATTCCCTCATTCCCTCCATCCCCTCCATTCCCTCCATCCATCCTCCCATTCCTCCCATCCCTCCATCCATCCCTCCATTCCCCTATTTCCCTTCATCCATTCCCCCATTTCCCCCATTCCCCCATCCATTTGTCCATTCCTTCCATCCCTTCATCCCTCCATCTATCCCCCGATTCTCCCCATTCCCTCCATCCCGCTGTTCCCCCCATTCCCTGCATCCATCTCCCCATTCCCCCCATTCCCTCCATCCCCCTATTCCCTCCATCCATTCCTCTATTCCCTCCATTCCCTCCATCCATCTCTCCATCCTCCCATTCCCCCATCCGTTTGTCCATTCCTTCCATCCCTTCTTCCCTCCATCTATCCTCTGATTCCCCCCATTCCTTCCATCCCCCTGTTCCCCCCATCCCTCCATCCATCCCTCCATTCCCCCCATTCCCTCCATCCCCCTATTCCCTCCATCCCCCTATTCCCTCCATCCATTCCTCTATTCCCTCCATTCCCTCCATCCATCCCTCCATCTATCC